CCGGAAATCCCGGGTTTTGTACTTCCTTCTGGGGAAAGGCTGAAATCTGAAGCGTTTGCGGATGATTTGGTAGCCTTCACACCATTGGATGACCGGGCCTTTTTTGCGCTCAGAGAAACTATAGAACTGTTTTGTCAGCTGTCTCAGGCCAAGGTTAATTAGGAAAAATCTTCAGTTTTAATACCCCCCGGGGAACAGCCCCCGCATAATTGGGGACTAACGATAGTAGCGCCTGGGAGACAAGAAAGGCTTTTGGGACACCAAGTTTCGTTTGATCCACAGCTAGTACAAGACTCGTCGACATCAATGGCACGTCTGAGATCGACATTGCTACCTTGGGTAAAGTATAAAGGTGCCAGTTTGTTTGGTCGAGCGGCTGTTATTAACAATGCAGTACTGTCCACTTTGTGGTACCGTCGGGCCATTCATCAGTTAGATAAAGCGTCGTTGCAGACTATACGACACCTGCTCACTCATTATCTGTGGAAAGAAGAGATAAACGATGACAACTTTTTACCCAAAGTGTCATGGGCTACAATAACCCAGCAAAAACGGAATGGAGGACTGGCTATATTGGACCCCGAACGACAGATTGCAGCACTTCTTGCAAGATGGGTCCCATGGGCCGTTTTGGAAAGTCCTCTCACGGCATGGAGACAATTGGCAGAATTCTACATCTTTTGTTGGTTGGACTGGACAGATCTTCGCTGTATCTGGTTGGCGGTGCTCAATCCAGACTATCAAACAAAGAGACTGCCCACGGGGATATGGGCGGGGATATTGAAAGCCTGGAGGGAAGTGCGTCCGAAATTGCAACCCCCACTGCTGATCTGTGAAAGAATAATGACTCAGCCGCTATTCAACAATCCACAGATACTCAATTTGGAGGGACTACCTTTTCGTTGCCTCGGACCAAGGGAGTTTGGTAATGCATGGATGGCGAGAGGAATTGGCACTGTAGCCGATTTGTGGGATGTCACAAATGCCGATTGGAAAACTGCAGAAGAATTGGTCCCGAGATTACAGGGACTATGGCACCGGGAAGACCATTTGCGGCAGCTGCAGAATGCCATCCCCCAACAGTGGGTACATTTGATGAGAATGGGTCCGCTGCCACGGAAAGGGATGTGGTATAAAAGTGCCCAACACGAGATTCCGGATCACATTTGGAGAATAGAGGATTATTCGGAGACGGTTGATATTCCTATCACCTATTTGCTGGTACAAGGAGGAGCTGATTCGTTGGGAGAACCGTTGCAGCTCTCAGTGGAACAGTATCCCTTGCCACCGCCTGAACAACTGGTACCAGTCTGTGTACTGGAGCAAAAACAGAGTTGCAGACCGTACTGTTTGAAACTGCCGGCTTATAGCTTGGTGGTAGACCCCAGAGATTGGGCGTGGGACCACCCAATGCATAGATCTGAATTAGTCGGATTATCGGAATATACGACCAAATTGGGATATCAGACAATGACCTCTCACACAGACGTTAACTGGGAGGTGACAAGAAGATGGATGACAATAGGATGGATCAGAGACACGCTAACTAGATTAGTAACTGTTCTTCCGAAGTTCTGGAAGCAACTGATGGATTTGGTAGTGAGTAAACATGCAGGTGTGCTCTGGTTGGTGATGTATCTGGCACTGCCGACGAACACCTGGTGTGCTAGAAGAACAGCAAAAGCTACCCCTGAGTGTGGACTTTGTCCGGGCACCACGATGGAGGATATACAGCATTTCTTACTACGTTGTGAACTCTCCAGGCCATTTTGGGATTGGTGGAGACAGTCGGATGTCCCGATCCCTGATGTGGATACTCGGTGGGGGGATGAGTTTATTTCCCTCGGAACAGCAGCCAGGAGAACCTCTCCACAGATGCAATTAGCTCATGCGGAAGAAACAATAAGAGGTGCCATAGTGTGGACTCTTTGGAATCTCAGAAATGCCAGAGTAAGAAAGAATGAGCAACTTATACCGCCGATGGCCAGAGCTGAAATTAAATACGTGATCAAACAAGCAATATCGGCAGATTGGGAATATCGAGTTCAGAAAAAAGGCTTCTCGGCCAAGGCTGTCAAATGGTTTGGAAGAAGGTGAGGAAAATTCTCGAGGCTGGCTACAGTTGATGCAGCTCACGATGGCACACTCCTTATGAGGTTTTCTAACTTCTTCATCTAGTTTTTGTTCAGTTTTTGCGTGTTGGCCTGTCTTTTGTTGTCAATTGTGGTTTACGCAGATTCAATAGTAGTTTGGTAGTTCAGTTGTGGTTAGAGTAGTGTGGAATGAGTGATACAATAAGTAGACTAGATTGAGCGACTCTGAATTGAACCTTGGCTGCGGTCGGGATGGGATTGGCCGGAAGTGCCTTTTCCAGCCTGGATGGCCGCAGAATATGTGAGGGACGCTGGACCCGCTTTCCGGCAATATAAATAAAAGAGTTT